CAAACAAAAAACCCAACACCAACCAACCCTGACATGTTTCAAAAACAGGAACCAGCTTGCTTAGGGACTCTAAAAGCAGCACTGCTGGCCTGCAACAAGAATCTCCTCCTAACTGCCAAAAAGGCATTAGAACACAACCATGATGAGGATTCAAAGGAGGATTCTTGCACCCTGAAAGGAGGGGAGGTCTACTAAATGAGGGAGGGCTGTTAAAATAGATGAGTAAGCAATTCAACCTGAGGTAAGAGAATTTCATCTCCAAGGACTTTATTTCTAGGGCTACTACTCCAGTCCTAAATAGAAAGGAACAGATTTAAAGTAAAGTAAAATGGAATCCCTCTCCACTTCTTGACTTAGCTTCCATCATAAATGCGGCTGCTATTCTACACACTTCAAAGGTAGCTGTAGCTACAGTTGGACAAGTACAAGAGAGCGCACTCAGCTGAGCATGTGATCAGTTTTTGCATGTCCAATAATGCTCCAGCTGAGTAAATTTGCCTCTCTGTTCATGGATCACCAAGATCCATCTTACCTATCAGTTCCCTGTTATAGGAGCATCGCAGCCTTCTTTTTTGGCCTTTGACACAGCAGTCTTGTTTGAATACTGCAACATTTTTAGTCAACTTGAGTTACTGGGCTCCACCTGGGAGTAAGTGGATGAACTTTAATGCTCTATATTACACAGGTTTACACAAGATGCTCTAATGGTCCCTTCTGACCTTAGAAGTTATGAAGCAGTATTGAGATTAGTCAGTCTAGCTGCAGGGCTTTAGCACAAACTGATATATCCGATCTGCTTGCCCAGACAATTTAGACTTAAATTTGGGGTAGAGAAATCCCACTTTCAATTTGGAACAGGCTATGCACTTCTACACCATACAATTAAAAAAAAAAAGAACACTATCCCCTATTGTAGGACTTGTAGGTGAAAAGTAGTATTTTGAAGAATAAGATACAATTTCACCAGTTACATCAAGTTAAATGGTTTCCCAGCACATTACAAAATTACCTGTACATTATAGCACCACTATTACAAAACATCTGGACATGCTCCAGACTTACACATGAAGTTGGGGATTAGGATGCCAATGAAGGCCATTTAAAGTGGGTTACACCCAAGGTTTGGACATGACCATACTAAGAGACAAAAGTCTTGCAATCTATAAAAGCATACCAGGGCTAAAATAGAGGCCACTTTTATTACATCAAACATTTAAAAAGGGGTAGAATTCTGCCTCTATAACATCACTGTGCCTAGCTTTCTGTAACTCAACTAGCAAATCATGAAGGATGTTCCTGAACCTGAAGATGATACAGGATGAGTGCGAAGCATAAGCTTTGCTACCAAGGCTGAAACAGACGTTTCTAATTCTTGACAGGTAACCCCAGGAAACTGTCTTTGCCCCAGTACCATACACCCCTTTGATTCATTTGAGCTGCATATCGAAAAGACCACAGTGTTTAAAAAAAAAAATTTATTACATCAAACATTTAAAAAGGGGTAGAATTCTGCCTCTATAACATCACTGTGCCTAGCTTTCTGTAACTCAACTAGCAAATCATGAAGGATGTTCCTGAACCTGAAGATGATACAGGATGAGTGCGAAGCATAAGCTTTGCTACCAAGGCTGAAACAGACGTTTCTAATTCTTGACAGGTAACCCCAGGAAACTGTCTTTGCCCCAGTACCATACACCCTTTTGTTCATTTGAGCTGCATATTGAAAAGACCACAGTGTTTAAAAAAAAAAATCCTGAACAGAAAATCATGAGGCAGCTGCAGTGGAACGGTGATATATTCAACTCCTTAGCTCCAACCACTGTTGTCACAGTAGTAGCTACAAGCAGAACACAAAATAACTTGCCAGAGCATGTTGTGCAATGGAAACAGAGTCTTTTGAAGGCTGGACTTGTCAGAAACAATTGGCTATATAAAGATTCAGCTCCACTGAAGCAACAGTGTCTCATCTCCCAATAAAAGCATGGGGATGAGAGCAGTTGCTATCACAGGGTGGCAATAGAGGAAAAGTAGAGGTTAAAATAGACGCTGGAAAGTCTTCTACTAAACTGTATTTATCTGCATGTAGAGTCCACCACTCAACTTCCATGGGGAAGAATTCAACCTGAAAAGGACCAAGGCTTTTCCAAAAAACAAAGGGTCTGGGAATCTATTTCCACATACAAATAGCGACATCTTGGCCTAAGGCAGGAAGAGCTATATCCAGTTACTGCAAAATAAGAAAATTAGCAACTGTTCATGCTGTGATAACGACATCCTTCTACTTCACCTCTTGTGTAAAGGGACCAAATTTTCATAGGGGAACCCAAAACCTTACATTGTAGCACTCTTTCTGCATGCATGCTCTGCAGGGCAGATCCATGTAGCATTTGCTCTTCTTAACAGCCTTCTGCGTATGAGAAAGACATGAAGAACACTTGTGACCAGCACAGGGATGGGAAAGCCATGCCACATCTTCCTCAGCCTCAGAAGATGGGCACCACAACCGTATCTAGTATTAGAACTGGCCAAAAGATTCACTGCACATGATGTCTCCTAGGTAGCCAGCCAGATCCTTAAGTATACAGGCAATAGAGTGACAGCACTGAAGGCTGGAGAGATTGTTATGGGTCATAAACATCCCAAATCCATGTTTGTTCCTCTATTCACTTATCCATGTATGACTTGACTGTCACTTAGCAAATTCTGCTGTCTACAGAAATGAACTCAAGAGTAAAATAGGCAGTAGTCTGAAGGGTGGTCTGTCTTGTTCCAAAAGATGATTTCCTTTGCTGGAACTGTCCACTCATGTCAGGTACTGCACCACAAGGAACATGATCACACAGGTCAAGAGCATTCCACCAATCATGAAGTATTTGTCCTGAAAGGCCCTCTTCTCAATCAGTCGCATCACTGTGTTTGATAAGCCCAGCATGTTGGCAACATCTAAGATCTTCTTATGAGTGTCCTGAGTGACAAGGAGAAAAGAAAACATTAGCCTTATCATTCATCCCTTCTCATTTCACATTTTAAGGACATCTTAGCATCTTAGAAACAAGTGACCATAAAATCCCCAAGTGGCCAGAGGGAACTGAGCCAACAATACCCACAACAAAAGTGGGGGTGTACAAATCAAGTGAATGGGACAAAAACCCACACCTGTAGTGAAGTGAAGTCAAAGGCTCCAAACAAGGGACCCTGAAGAGGACACTAAGAAGAGAAGCCCAGACAATATCCACTGCACCAAGTAGATATTAACAGAGTTTTTCTGAGTGGTGTCACAGACGCATAATATAATAAGAGCATGGAAGATCTTAAAGTTAGATGGCCTGTCCCAAAGTTAGATGGCTCTTCCTAGACTGATGGATGGCCAGTGCCAAGAAGAGCTTGATTTATAGCTTGGTGACTTCTGACAGGGTGTTTAGAAATGAAAAGGCACTAGCAAAGACAGCCAAAACCTCAACAAGAGTTTCTAGAAGAGAAAGAAGCGCTGTAACTAGGCACTGAAGAGGCAGGCTTGAGCCTGGGCAGCTGCCTCACTGCTGAAGGGGCAAATGCAAAGGGTGTCTGCAAACCATGCTAAACACACAGCTGTGCACACAGCTCTATTAAGAGACCATCAATTTATCCCCCTGGCAGGCTGTGGAATCAGGATGCAATAGAAATGGCCTCCTTAGTGATCCTTGCAGGGGGGCAAAGTCCTTTGTTATAAGGCAGAATTGGTGGGGTGGTAGGGAGGGGGGGAAGAAAAGCACTGGTGCAAAACAAGTTCAGAGGAGCCCAGTTGGATACTACTCAGTAGGCCTGTGCGAAGCAGCTAGTATTTCGCTTCGGATTCGGCTGATTCGGGGGACAGCGGTTCAATTCGGCGATTCGAACCACTGTCCCGAATCAATTTGACCAAATCTGATTGGGAGATTTGGCTGCTGCCAAATCAGCCGAATCTCTGAATCACACAGGCCCCATCCCCCACCTGCTCTCAATGGCTGCCCCAGCTCCCGGCTCTTTGAAACAAAAAGAAGCCTCCACTCACTGGCTCATGCCTGGTAGGGGGTGATTCCCCACTGCCCCCCACCACACTCCATCACGAGCCCCCGACTCCTGCCTGCTCTCCTAGCCCGCCTCATGGCTTCCCCGCCTGCCCCAGCTCCCAACCCTTTAAAAAAAACAAAAACAAACCAGACTCACCCCCTGCCGGGGGGGGGGGTGGCGGCGGCGAACGCAGCGGCGATCCCCGCGTTGCGTGGGGGGGCTCTTCCATTAGCCCCCCCCAAAGCCCTGAAGCTGCTGCAACAGCCAGTGATTCCAGGGTTTTTTTGTTCTCCAGGGGCTTTTTGCTCTCCCAGCCCCCCTCATGGCGGGGGGGCCACGAGGGGGG